CCTGAGAGCTCTGGTAAGCAGGCATGTTGCTTGGCTTTCAAATCAAACTATACAGTGCAATGTGAAGAAAAATTTCGTAGGCAAGCAGCTCTGCCTTTGCCTCGTGCGTGCCCATTGAATGACTGCACATGTCCCCACCTGGCGATCGCTTACGCGTGTCATTTCAGTACAGAGGAGTCTCATTGCTTTCAGTCTTACTGGCCTTATGAGTAAGGGTCACAACAACGTTTTTGGATTAGAATCTTAGAATCATAGAATGGCCTAAGCTGGAAGGGACCTTAGAGATCATTTTAATCCAGCGCCCCTGTCACCAGGGACGCCACCTCTCGACTAGATCAGGCAACACATGGGGACTGAACGGGAATCGAACCCACGACCTTAGCATTGTTAGCGTGGCATATAGTCTTGATTGAAATATTACATCGTTATTATGAAGTACAAGAAGAGAGGTTCAAAAATGTGCCTACTGATCCAGAGTTGAGTCTCTGTAATACTGGTCTCAGAACAGTTGAGGGGACTCTTCCGTGGATGTTCATGAGCATCTGTGCAGGCATCCTTGGGCCCTGCCTTACTATGGCTATTTCATAAAATGACTTGATATTTTCGTTACTTTCCTGCTTAGTGGCGTGTGCTTACGTATTTGAAATAAGCACACATGTGTCAAAGAGGAGAAAAAAATGAAGTGAGCTAATTCCTCAACATTTTTAAAGAAGTATCATGAAGTCTGGCAGATTTAATAGACCCCTTGTACAACTTTTGGCAGTACCCATAAGGAAACTCAAGAGGGCTGGGTATGCTCTGCACATCGCTTTATGCAGGGCTGAATGTACAGTCTTATTCCAGAAAACCTCGGTGTGCAGATGCAGGCACGGAGAGGTCATGTGTGTGCTGATGTCTGAAGTGAAGATCTTCTGCCAGTTAAGTGGATGTCTTTTAAGGACTTAGTCCCGTAACTAATGAAGTCAATAGGAAATTTTTCGGTTCACATCAATGGGCTTCGAGTCAGGCCCTCGAAGATTAAAGTAATCCTGTACTAAGCTTTCAGGTGGCTTCTGCTGCCTTACACCTATATCCTAAAAAATACACGTCTTATTTCACTGAATTACTCTGCTGTTGAAAACGAGGAACATTTTAGCAAAACAGTTTTAACTTTTTTCAATGTTTCTACAGCATTTTGCCCTGAAATTACTTATGGAAATATTTACCAATTTTTTTTTTTTAGCCAGAACCCAGATTATTTGGTACATGTTTTCTGCAGATTTGGATTAGAAAAAATTTAAAGATTTGGTTGTCTTTTTGGTGAGATTCTTAGTGATTTTTTTAAAAAAAGACAAAATATTGGCCAATTTTTAATATTGCAAAATGGGAAAAATTAGATTGTATTTACTTTATTACTCCCTTCTAGGTTTTCTGAGACAAAGCTCACCTTTTAAGTTGGACAGAGAAAATCATATAATTCCTAGTTAAAATGATACACAGTTAAGCTAAAGGATAGTAAATTAAAATGCATTAATGTCTTTTAAAGGTTTTACATAATTATGGAAAAATAAGCAGAGCAGGATGTCCTCAGAGTTGTTTTTTCCATGGAAAAATCATAAAAATGCCTATTTCATGGATGCAAGTACAATTACATGTACGAATATTTGTTTTCACCCTATCGGGACTTTACACTTGTGAAAAATTACTCGTTCATCAGCTGTTTCAGAATCTACGTTTTCCATATTTGTACATGTAGAGGCCCTCGCTTCTAAGCCCACCTTAGAGACAATGTACACTGAAAAGCAACATTTAGCATCCCAGGAATATTGCTCTGCTTTGTATTTGAAGCATCCGATTATCGGATTGAAATAGGTAACTTCCGGATAATCACTGTGACTGTCTAGTGACCACATGCTCCCTCCCTTCCTCCAGCTTCAGCCTACCTGAGGCTGGTACTCCTGAACTATAAATGTCCAGCTAAGATACAGTATTTGAAGCTGCTATAAAATAATAAAGTTCCACAGAACAATCAAAAGATCAAACCTCAGCCTGCTGGGAAGCCTTTTGATGTGCACTTCTATTAGGCAGTTTCAAAAATCGTAAGCATCACCTGCAGCAACCAGGGATTATTGATGTTTGCTGTGCTTCTAGAAAGGAAGGAGCTGCAAAGCCAAAATGCAGAGAAGTGAATGAAAGAAGGAGATAAAGAGAGGTGTCATGTTGGTGATACAGAATTTATACTCTCACTTATACATAACTTACACTTTGTTCACATGAAATAGAATAATCTGTGAGGATTTAATGCCACAAAGGGTTTGCGTCTGTGTCCCTGGCTGTTAATGGAAGGAATTTATTTTCTTGAGTGGGAGGGTTTGAGTTAATATTTCTTATTGGATGCGGCAGAAAAATGAGTTTACTGTTTTTCTGAACTGGAGTGAAACAATTTGGCGCTGATTTTACGTAACAGCTTTTTGTCTCCTTACTTATCTGTGGAGTAAAGATGTTTCTCCTTATATTCCAGTAATAGTCTTCTTCCTGATCAGTGGCTTTTAAAAAGAGAAAAATGCAGGTTTTCTGTCCCAAAATAATAAAGTGAGGTTTGAAAACTAGCGTATATCAGGAATAGAGTTATGTTTCTTGCAACAGGTATGTTTGCTCTCTTTTAACAGTGGAAATCCTCAAAGAATGCTTGAAATGTACCATGTGTTGTGAACAGAGAGTCAGTATCTCAGAATAAAGGAAGAAATGAACAGAATAAAAGATTAGGAGAGAGAGGGACAGAGACAGAGTCAACTTGAACACACATAAAATTCCTTCTGGAGGCCCTTATCTAATTGCCTCATTTATCTAGTTTCATTTATAAGCTCAGTTTTATTCTGGGACACTCTCGGAGCTCAGAGGTTGTGTGAGAATGGCTGCAGAATGACCTAACTGGCAACGGGCTTTCTACAGATGCTTGCTTTTTTTTTTTTTTTTTTTTTTTTTTGTATGCCAATTCTCAGGGCAATTACTGCTGTTGCCCTTTTTATATTAGCGTCTTGGGTGGCTAGGTCTGATGACGTTTACTCACTCTTTTTAATAGTATAATTTCTTTTGATAAATAAGCAGCTAGGATTTTTTGTGTCTCTTTTTTGCTTAATGCAGATGCTTGCTTTCACATGATATAAAAGTTGATTTAAAAATGAAGCAAAATACTTTCTGCAAACTATCCCCCCCCTCTCTAATCTTCACCTAGATTATTCCTTAAATTTTAATGGACTCCAAGAATTTTTTTTTCTTTTTAGTGAAATGAACTGTCATATTTTGCTTACATTTTGAAAGTGATTTTCTGGGTGCAGCACAGCCGATGCGAAGTTTTTGCCATTGATTTGAATGAGGCCTGGATTTAAACTGTAGTTTTTACTGGATTTTTATTTTCTGATTTCACTAGTAAACTTAATTGTATTTATTATTAAGATTGAAACTCTCAAGATCAATCCCATCTCTTCATGGCTATGGCACATGTATTAGAGATCTTCAGTTTAGGGGCCATCTGTGTTATTTTTCATATCTCTAGGAACTAAGGAGTGAGAAAAGAACTATCAGATCTCCCCAGCTGGTTGTTGAAAATAATGTGTTACAGTGGAGTTAAAGTTGGGTTTTTTTAAAAAATATATTTAATTAAAGATAGTGTTAAAGATGTTATCTCTGTGAGATATTTAAATGTTGCTGAAATACTTCAGCGACTTTCTTGCTTTGCCGATTATGAAGAGTGCAATAAAACTGCACTATCTGACAGATTTAGACAGCTGGCTCATTCATGAGAAGTTCACATTTTTGTCACCCACGTTGAATAAGGAAAGATTAGATGCTAAGGTCGATTTACAAAAATGGTTGTCAGGACATTTTTTAATTGTAAAACTTTTTGTGATGGAATTCAGGGGAAAGACTAAAGGCAGAAAGCATCGGAGACAAAGAGCTGCTATTAACCTACAGATGCTACCGCAGGGTTCATTTTAAGATTGGTCACACTGCTTAGCCAATGAAGTGTTCGTGTGACTATAAGGGGACCACCCTTTTCTGGGGTGAGAGGGCAGTTTGGTCTTCATGCTCATTTAATCCCAGGACGTCTTTCAATGGACTGTCGGTTGAATATACATTGTGCAAAATTATGCATGCACTTTTTAATGCAGACCATTGTCTGCTGAGCACTTAACCAAGATTTCTCAACCCGTTTCCACTTGGCGTGAGGTCACTCAAAACCCAAGCAAACGTACATGGAAGGCAAATGTAATTTTCTGTTCCTGTGAGCCTAAGACAGAGAAATGCTATTATCCGTCATGCTGCACTTTCAGATTTAGTCATTAGTAAATGAAGACCGAAAACTTTCTATAAAGGGAAATTTGTTGCATGTCACTGCCCTGGAGAGGTGATTTTGCTACCAGAGAGTAATAAGGCTAAAGTCTTTTAGAACTTCTTGCCTAAAGTATTCTGAATTGTTGACGCCTGAGCGGCTGCTTGTAAGTACAACAGGATGCACACACTGTGGCTACTCTGCTTTCTTTCCATAGGCAAGATTTTAAAAAAGCCAAGTAGTGCAAAGGAAATCTAATAGTCCATAAGGTGTGAGCGGAAAAACTGACAGTATCGCCCTAGAGCTGGAAATACGAGAGCACCACTTCTGAAGACACATCCAATTGGACTATTAATACTTTAGAAAACCTGACTATAGCATGTACACCGTATTTATTGAGACATTTACAAACAACTCAGTCTTACGGTAGCTCTTCAAGGACCATGTACATTTAGAATCGCATTTGGTGAGAATCATCATACGTTTTTTTGTACAAGCGACATCGTACGCAGCCAGCGCGTGCCCATGTGAGCTCTCGTCCAGGGACGTTCCGTCCAGTGTGAAATCAGCAGCAGCCTACTCGTGTATAATCTGGCCTGTCCTGTTACAGTGGAAATCACTTTATGAATGCTTTTAACATACGCTGGGAATTTTACTACGATTGGTTGGCCGTTGTTTTTCTCATCCGTCGTAAATGAATACAAGTTGACACAAGGATACATTTCTAGATTAGATCCACAACACATTAAAGTGTGTGTTTGCTCTCTCTTTCCCCGTCTTCCCAATTAAGTTGTTGAAAAATGTAACTTTAGTATTTTACAGGACATGGTAAAGCTGTCTCATCTAGGTGATGTCTATATTATAAAAATAAAATAAAATAATATAAATATGTAACATGAACCCAGTGCCCATTGTTAAATAAAATATATGATAAAAAGCAGACCTTCTAGGATGACTGGTTTTGAAATATGCGATATAATTTAATTATTAAACACTTGAAACAATCTTGATATTAAGCTGCGATAACCAGATTTTTGCATCTATGCTAGATAAAGAAATGCGTAACATTCTGTAATAGAGTTACATTGATGAAGGTGAAGGTTACAGGCATACAATGAATTGCCTAGATAGGAATGTGTTAAGGAGTTCTGAAATACTGTCTCACGATGTAGTTCAGCTCACCTTAGAAACTGCTACAACTGGATGTTATTAAGTCCAGCAGTTTATACAGCGATGTTTGAAAACTGTTCTCTTACTGGTATAGTCAGATGGGTACAGACACGAGATTTCTGGGATGTCAAAGAATCCATTAAGACATCACAAAAGTCCTTTGACGAAAATGTGGTATACAGTGGAATTACTTTGTAAACTATTTCTCATGAAGAAATAAATATAAAAAAAAATTCCACTAGCTGCAAAAACGTATTTGTGCACGTGTATGTGTGTACATATTGGATATCGGTACGTCTGTGGAGACATGCAGGAATATTTACACACATACAAAGAATTCATCTGCACATTTGTGGATATTATACTTAAATTAATAAAGTAAATCAAATCACCGGTATTTGTTGCAGGATCACAGTCTTTGAAAAATGACAGGATTCAAAACAAATGCCCGCTGAAAGTGTAGTTTCCAAACAGTCCCAGAAACTATACAATATAGCTGGTTAGATCCAGCAAATAGGAAGTCATGTCTAGGATCTGATCAAGAATACCTGCCCTTGTCACTCTTCGGATGTTTCTATCCACTTGTTCACACTGGGGGCCGAGATAGCCTTTTTTACATAAGCATTTATTAGGCCTTACACAGACACCTCCATGTCGACAGGCTGGGTCACATTTTGCTGTGGGTGAAAAAACAGCAATTTTCTCATTTGTTTAGGACATCACAAACGAAAAAGACACAGTACGCATTCATTAAGAGCTTTTCTAAACTTCTAATGATAAAGCGCATAATTTAAAAGCAAAATACGAAGGGCAAAATATTAGAAGTTTTGAAACTGTATTTTTTTAAGCTTGAGAATATTAGGGGCAGGAAGTCATTTTACATGTCTGAGAGGACGTCGCCCAGGCCAGACTGTGAAACTCAAATAGCAGATTTTTGAAAATGTCCAATTCCCATACTCATGCTTGACTTTGGAGCACACAGAAGACACATCTCAAAAGACTTTAGGCTCCAAATGTCTTACCAGTTTAAAACAAGGCATACAGCAAGTCTAGATCTTTAAAAAGCGGTGGTCTGCCTCATCGCTTTTCTTAGGTTGGCAATCCAAAAGAGTCCTGAAGTTAGTGAGATGCTGGCCCTCTCGAAGCTAGCAAGTACTGACTCTCAGGTGAATTCCTTTGTGCGTGCAGAGTTCTGCGCTACAAGTTTTTGTGAGCAGAGCAGGCTACAACTGACCACCGAGGTGCACTCTTTTGGCTCGTGAATCACTTATGCTTGCAAGAAAATTGAATTCCCTTTAGAAAAAAAAGATAACCAGAGTATTTTTTCACAGCTTTTGTCAGTTAGTTAAGGTTCAAAGTTTTTCCCTCTCTCTTTAGCAGATGCCTGATGATTTACCTATAGAGTTCTAGGTTAATCTTGTTTAAGTTTTTTAAATATAAGTGCTCTTTTAAATTGTAGCCGGTGTCAGCAAAACGAATGATCTTCTGGGTACAGTCACAGCACTGTGGTAAACACAATGTAACTTTCTTTTTGCAGACATTCTGCTGTTTAATTCTATCTATTACAATAAAGCTATAATATTGATTTACGTGGCTTTTTAATACACTATGTAAAAACAGGTTTCTTGATTATATTAATGTTTTTCTTAATTGCACTAGGGTGAAAGCGATGCCTCATAAGGTAATTTTTCTTAATTAAATTATAACAGTAACCTGACATCCTAGAACATATTTTTTTTGTAGCTTTCTTGTATGTTGCACCTGTCAAATTATCTATCACAGAGCTGTAATGTTTTTGACCAAAACAGATTGTCCAAGGCCCATTTTTGTTCAGTGGAGGCATTTTTTACTTGGACAAGGGCTGCAGAATGGTCCTCATTCTCTAAATGTAGGAAATCTCCAACTGACAAGTGAGGACAGTTGAAGTTGGGCCGTTTGGCCAGATTATCTCATCCATTTCTTTTGTTGCACAGTTGTATGATGGTCAGTTTGTGAATCTTGCCAGTGAGATGTATCATTTGTGATTTCATTTATTTCATTTTATTCCAAACAAGGTCACTCCTGCTCATCACTAAACACCTGGACGTTGCTGAAATTTACACTCCTGGCTCTAAGGACCTCGTAGCTGACTCTGCGTCAACAGAGCCCTCCTGAGCATCCTTCCAACCTGAATTATCCCTGGTCCATCGTGTGATCCTTGCTTTGTCTTACTCTGTGATTCGTTTCCTCTTTTGAGTTCTACTGCCATTACATTAGCCAAATCTCTTTCTATAGGCCAAATCTCTTTCTATAGGTCAAACTCGCTGAGCAAATGTGCTCAGTCAGAAGACGGTGCTGACGCATTAACAACACCTCCTGGTACCCAGGCTTGCTCTGGAAGATCTGCAGAGTGACACAGCTCAGACATAACCACAGCCTCTGTGAGACAGTAATAGCAGAGCTGTGCACTCCACGTTCATACATCTCACCCTTTGGGTGGCACACCCAGCATCTGCTTTGATCACAGTTGCTTTTTCAAGTGACTTTTAAAAGACAAGACAGGGCTTCATAAAAGCACTGTGATTAATAATGGATTATAGTAATGTTCTGATTATTAGCCTCTTTGTGGTAAGTTGTGCACAGAATTCTAACAAACTGGAACCATTTTATTTTGTAGGATCAAAAGTAAGAACGTACCAAAACTAAAATATTTGCATTAAATTAGCAAAGTGCAAAATGCGCAATAGTGGCCTGCAGGTCTGATTCATCATCTTTCCCGACAATGTTCTCCTGTTTGACTCTGACAATGGCAATACTGCACGTGAAAGCTGATTGCCCAAACATGGAACATGTATTGATTGTGTTTCCTTTCCTTTTGCGATCTTGGCAAAAAATATAAGAATATTGTTTGTCATATTTATGCTAATTAATAGCAGTCGTTTTTTCCTACAGCTGACAAGATCGGTATTTCTTCAATGTCGTCTTAGAACTGATGGTCAATTATATATATTGAAAATTTCTCTCAGCAAATAATTAAAAAAAGCAAATTATGACATGTCACTGCTTTTTTCACTTGTTGCTATGAATCTATATACAAACCTGTTCTGCAGAACTCTCCTTCCCAGCCTTGATTACAGCAGCATTTTCCTGTGGGAGTGCAGTGCCCGTTCCGACAATGCCTTGAGCATTCAGATGTCAGTGTCTGTGCAGACTGAGCTGTTCTTTTACATTCTTCAGGGACTAGAGGCCTGAATAAAAATAGATGGAGCAAACAGATAGTTACAGGTCAGGGTCAAGGAGAAAAACTTTGTGGGTTTTTATTAAAGGCTTGATTCACTTTTATGGCATCAGTGGGAGAAATCTGTGTTCTAAGGGGATTGTTTGGGGTTTTTTTCCTCAAGAACACTGATAAACATAGAGATGATATGTTACTTTACAGAAAAATCAGTGTGATTTGCTATTCTTTCATATAACTGCCTTCAGACATCTTCTACAAGATTAAACAACAGTCCTTGAGATTTCTTGAAGCCTGAACCTGGCAAAACCAGCTTGCTGAAAAGCTTGTCGCAGGCAGTGTACATCTCTAGATAATACCATTATGAGATATGCAACATTCTACTGATTGTATGGCTTTTTTTCAGAGTGCACATAGTCATATAGTTCAGTCCAGAATCTGATGGTGTCTTTTTGATTTTCTAGCTTCTTTATTTCCATTTGTACGCTGGGAAGAGTGATCTGAACAGCAAATTTCATGTCACACATTATGACACGCATAATAATTTCGCAAAAGTATTACCTCTGCCTGCAAATTAGGTTTGACATTGCAGAATTTTTATTTCCACATTTTTGTGAAATCGCATTTGGATTATGCTCTGTGGATGTTTATGTAAGCATCTGAGCATCAGGAAGGTCTGTTTCACTCTGAGGGTGACCAGGCCCTGGCACAGGTTGCCTAGAGAGGCTGTGGAGTCTCCATCCTTGCAGGTATTTGGGAGATGCCTGGTCCTGGGCAAGTGGCTGTAGGTGACCCTGCTTGAGCAGGAGGGTTGGACCAGGTGCCCTCCAGAGGTGCCTTCCAGCCTCAGCCACCCTGCAGGGGATTCTGTATCAGGTAAGCATGGAGGAAATACTAGTTCAGCTGACTTAAAATATTTCTGATACTGGCTTTTTTGGCCGGGCTTCTTGGTGTCAAGTCTTACATTACACATTTTTTTCTATCAGTCTCTACAAAATGTTTTGGATGGTCCAGTTGCCTTTTTTATTTACGAAAGCACAGCATTATCTTCCTTAACAAAGAAGGAACTGTGATGTTCCTTCTGTAGTGTTAAGTGTATAAAACTCCTCAGTGTTTTAACTTAAGCATGCCGTAACTGTTGCTATGACTTCCAATGTTGTGGTATTTATTTATTTTTTTTTAAATTTAGCTGTATGTTATCATACTGACCACTTACTTTATTTGCTGAGTTCAGCAGCTAGAGACTGATAGGGTCATCTCAAGGCTAGAAGCTTCCCAGTTAAAGGTACAATTTTTTGTCTCTGCTGTGGGTTTGATTGCACAGGAATAAGTTCAGAAAAGAATATCAGGATCTCCCAAGAGATCTGAGCAAATAATTGAATGGGAGCATCGTGGTAAATTGACTTAATTAGTGACAAATACAAAATTACTCATTCTCAAAGAAATAATTTGAACTACTGCCATACATTCCTAAGCTTGAAATTAGTGAGACAAAGATTCTAATAGTTTTGTGGAGAGCTCAGGGAAACCGTGACTGAGTGTCCAGCTAGAATCGAAACAAACCAAACCAAATTTGTTTAAGATAGAACAGAATGGAAAATAACTCTGTTGATTATGCTGACATCAGTATTAAACGCCCAATTACATGCAAATAGCTGGAACCGCAACTTGTGCACTGATTACCCTGTCAAATATTAAAATTCTAGATACTCCTGTGTGGAGAGAAAGATAGTCTTTGGAGTCTGAGAAAGAAGGAGTGTGATGGAGGTGTGGAAAAGAGTGACAGAAAAAAAAGAGGGGGAAAATTGCTCATTCTTATTTATCTCCTATTTCAACATCAGAAAAATATCGAGGGAAAAAATTAAGCTAAAGAAAATAAAATTAACTAGCTGGACTCATGGCTTCTAAGATATCAATGAAGCCCATGCTCTAGGATTTTTAAAAGATATTTCTATGCACAATGGGGGCATTCAAAGTAATATTAGATAGGGTAAAAATAATTTTTAAGAAAAATAAGCACTCATACCTAATGTCACGGAAGTCCCTCACTAGCTGACTGGGCTTACATTTCCCTCCCTCCCCCCTATTTTGGCATGCAGCTTGTTAATGGTACGTAACAGGGTTTCTTGCATTTTTCTTTGAAGCAGACTAATAGAGTACAGGCTCACTGGTTTGTTTCACCATAGCACTTTCTCTACTCAGTCTTAATTGTTACCATGATTATTTAAACATCCACACAGAAGTGGTTCCCCAGAGATATTAGGGACAGAAAGAATGTGTAGACATATCTTCAAGTGTAGCACCAAGTTCTGATTTCAAAAGCTCTTCTGAGAAACATCACACCGATTCACACATACTTCAGGTCTTGTATTATTTAAGGGCTTTGAAACATGTTTTGACACCTTTTGTGCAGCATATTTGAAACGCTTTCAATTTTTCTTTTTACATATTTCCATGGCTGTCTTTTAAATATAATGCATTATTTTTTTGACCTGTAAGAAATTCCAGTCCTGTAGTAATAAGTCCATTACATATGTCCTGGTTAAGAACCTTTCTGCACTTAAAAACTATATGTGACATTCACAAACAATGCTGTTTTGGAAACAATTCTACAAAGCAACATAATTTTCAGTGGAGACTTGTTCAGATTTAAAGTAAAAAGATACGTCTTCTAATTCCTACCTCTGGAAAAAAAATACTCTAAATTTGAGGTGATTTCTTTATAGCCATCTGCATAGGAGACAACATTCTTCATCTATCTCCGTGTAAGCCTATTTCTTTCAAGTTAGTCTAAATGGGAGTATTCTCTTTTTCTTGCTCTAACACATGTTCTGTAGTACTATGTTTATCAGGAAGCATAACGTCAGGCTCCTGGAGCGTCTCTTGGAAAAGAGTTACAGTGGCATATCTTTAGCAAAGAATGACCTCGTAAGTCACAGAGATATTTTACTTGTGAAGATAATGTTTTATTTTATTAATAGAGGTAGAGTATTTCTCTATGATAGTGCTGGAATATATGGTTCTTTTTTTTATTTGTATTCAGTGAGGAAGGCAGAAATCACACTCATTTTCATCCAGCCAAGCATGGCTGGTCACTTTCATGATTTAAAGTTTTCTAGTGCTCTTGGTACTTGTGAATATAACCTTGCCTTTTATTCTACCATCAATCAATAACTTGCACTCAACAGCCTCGGATAATATTTATTAATGGTGGGGTGGAGTAGAAACAAAGATGGAAAAAATTCTGGCTGGCAGAGTGCCTTGGGAGAAGAGGAATACAAATGCAGCTGCAGCAGAATCCTTCGTGTGTGTGAGAAGAATTCGTGGTTTTCCTTAGTTGCACTACAGGAGAAGCCATGCTTCTTTCTCAGGATTTCAGTGCCCTTACAGTACAAACACATATAAAGAGAAAGTCTCTGCCCTGCAATACTTACACTTTGCATTCTTAAGGCTTTAAAGGGATGGAAATTTTCAGGCTCAGCCTAAGATTTGAACTGGATCTCACAAAGATAACCTAAGTCTTGAAACTGTTGGGACTCCATCCTTCCAGCACTCAGACAAGCCTATGATTTTGTTTATAAAACTAGTGCTTCACTGTGTCTCTTGAGGTGGAAAATGGAGGGGAATAGACGGAGCCACACTGTGGGCTAGAGAGAATTTTTTTCCTTGTTTCCCTCAATCTATAAAACCCTGAAGGGTATGGCTTGATTACTCTTACAGTAAGCACTATTTGGTCCGCAGAAAGTCAGCCAAAAATGTAGCTGATAATGACTATTTATATGGTCTGTACAATTCTAGTTATCTTAAAGAGCTGTTCATATATACAGCACAGTACAGTATATCTTGCTTGTTAAAACATGCTTTCATGAAACTGTATAACAACTCTAAATGTATGGAACATGGAGGAAAAGTTGTACTGGGGGCTGGGGCCCTCGTTGGGTCCCTTCGCTGACGTGTGCAGTGAGCTGGGAATTCTTGGCTGGACAACGTGTAAAATAATTTCTGCTGCATTACTGTAGCTAGTATAAGAAAGTAGCCTCTGCTGTTAGTTTGGAGGCATTTAAAAATCTAATAGATTAAAACTCATCCTGGAACTGCTTAGGATTTCATGCTGTCTTTAGTGCATCTCATCACAGTTCCACTGAACGCACAGGGTGATTTAGTTGCTGTATGCGCTAGCCTGCAACTCAGATATACATAAATCAATGCAACTGCAGCGTCAAATTCAGCAGTAATACAATGGTGCTGAACAGAAAACAATTCCTCCATCGTGCCTTTGACACAATATCAAAAACCTCCACTTCCCCAGTAAAGTGAGAAAAACCCAGACAAAATTCCTAGATGTTCAAATCTGAACAAGAGACACGGCCATAGAAATCCTGACTGAGGTACAAAATATATGGGAAGAAAGTCATGCTTCGATTAACTGCACACAACATACTAGGTATCGGAATGATGCTTAAGTATATCACCTAAATTTGTGCATTAGTTGTTTGGTGTTTTCCTTTATAAGAGAAAATGTCAAGAAAAAAAATGTTCCTTCACTACTTGTCATAGACTAAATTTACTACTTGTCATAGAATGAATATAGCATCTCTTCAGGTACAGCTTCTAAAATTAAAAAGTATACCTTTAGTCCTGGGAGAGATGCCAAAAGCTCGTTACTTGTCTCCAGATTTACTGCATGGGAATAATGTGGAAAAAACTCATGGCTTTCAAGATTTAAACTCAGCAGCATATCAAATTTATTCTTATATGGTATACTTGTTCATGACCTCTAGTCTTAAGAAATTCTGTCATGTTTGAAAACTAGTCCCTAGTGAAGCCTGTATCAATGTTAATAGCTAAGAGGTCAATGCAACTGCTAAACAGTTTGTATTACTGTCAGGGTGGTCATGAAAACAACACCTGCTGCATGAGCACTTGGCAGCTGGGTCAACAGGCACTGTGGGAATTTATCAATTTAGGGGGCCACTTGCATAACACTTTGACTGATGAATTGGGAAAGACGGG